TTTCCAGTTCCTATCTGTACCAGTGTACATCCTCTGGTCTAGCCAGACTTGCAAGGTAGAATTCAGATCATGATAGTGGGGGGGTGGGGGGGAGAGGGAGGAAGCATTTAGGAACTAGAGGACAGTTGTATTTTTCATCGGTGCTATATCACACGCTGACTGGTTCGTTTCCTCCCCGAGACCCTTATGTAAGGGGATGTCCAGTGACCTACAAATGGGCTTTGGGTCTCCACTCCACATTTGCCCCCCCTCATTCACTATCATAAGATTTTTTGTTCTGATGATGCCTGATACCTGATCCCTTCAATACCTCATGTGCTTCTTCCATGTGGGCTTTGTTGCTTCTCAGCTAGATGGCCGACGTACGAATATTTCTTTGGTGATTCTAGTTCTATAAGTCATTCAAAATGTTAAAAATATTTTAATGAAATTTTTTTTCGTAAAGCAAAAATTCTCTACATGAACTATGGTCTAAAAAGCCTCACTAATCCATAATGCAAGGTTGAATAAAAAACAACAACACTGCTACTAGGTTCCAGTTCATGCATGCATGGGCTGATCCCAAACCACACATATTTAGACATGTCTCTGTGGTCAGTGGATGGCTGGAGACAAGTTCTGTCAGTCACCCCCTTGTTTTGGTCTTGTTTAAAACAGTGGCTTCCAAAGGGGTCTCCTAGGCCAGTTAAATTCAAGGCAGAGGGTCAGATGAGAAGGTTATGGACTATTTTTCGGTATTCCACAAGGTAATCCTGACAGATTTTCTCAAAGGACACAGGGCGACCATGAGGGCTTACTGGGAGAAGCTTGTAAGAAAACTGCAGAGTGCATTGGTGATGAAGGATTGGGAGAGTTACACGGAGGGACTTTCCCATCACAACCAAGCCCGCGGGCGTCCTTGGAGGGTAGCAAGGGCTGCCCTGCAAGAATGTCACCAGGAAACCTTACCCCAGCCACTGCACACCCCTCACCTTGCACCCCCCCAAACCCAAAGGGCATTGAAAGGAACACAATTTGATTTCTTTGAGGGTGCTGTTTTGATGTAGTGTCAACAACGAGTATAGAATTCTTCAGTGAAAAGTCAGACAGATGGCACCGCACTCTCAGACATGTAGCAACCGAAGTATGCACCAGTGGTACAGTTAGCACACAATACTTATATAGAAGCGGGTAGACAAGATGGAAGATATGTTGAGAAACAATAGCTTCGGATTTTAATATTTTTGTTTAATAAAAGTTGTCTATGATTTTGCAGCAGTGTTTAACATAATCACATATAGCTGGCCTTTTGCTTATTGTTGTTAAAGACTGCAGGTTAATGACTATGTTGGTACTTGAGGTTTAAACAATAAGTTGTTAAATATGTGATAGAAACCATCACTTAACAAGTAAAGACAGTCACAGAGTGCTTTAGGGACAAAAAATATCTATGGCCACAGGTTAAGTTCTTTCAGCTTCTTGTATTTTTATATTTCTATTGGTTCACACAGTGCATGGAGACCACCACACTTTATTCATAGGTTCAATAAGGCTGAGAAACTAAGCAAAACTTGTGAAAAATTCTTGGGGTTAGGGCAACAAAAAGTAGAATTCAGAGCTTGACCAGATAGTTCTGTAAACACTCAGGAGTTCACTTGTGGACATAGGATATATTGAATTAATATATCCTATGTTGTGAGTGGTAAGTATTGCAGTGAATTGAAGCCCAGATTTCAGTCATCTGAATTCCTAAGTAGCTGCATTTCTGGGAGAAGACACATCATCTTAGGTCTCATATTGGTTAAAAATGATGAGGCAAGCAAGAAGAAAAGTCATGACTGAAAATCAAGAGAAAAATACTACAGTGAAAACACATCTATAGGTGAGCCTTGGGGGGAGAGAAGAAGCTGCCCGCAGCCTGAGATGGAGCCTGGAGGGAGTAGGGATGGAGCGAGCATGCAGAGTTCTGTAGCTGTGGGTGGCGGACAGGGCGGAGGGAGTAGATGCTCCCCAGACCTACGGACAACAAAGAGAGCTGGTGAAACAGGTGGGTGATCACCCCAGGAACCTGAGCTCTGGAGGGAAGGATAAAGAAGAGAAGCAGGTTTACTACAGGCTGGGAGAAGAAGCCGAATGAAAGTGGTGAGAGAGGACACACGGGCACGTGTTGCAATGTCACCATCTTGAATTTTAACAAGCTTCTTTCGTTCCGCACAACAACTGGGCACAAGGGGAGCTGACCGCACGAAAGGAGAGACTCCAACACCCGTCACTCTGCAGCTTCGTCAGCTGGGCCCGTGATGGGTGATGGACCAGCACCAGCTACGCTCGCCCTGGACTGTGCTGCCCAAGCAGGTAGCTGCCCCCTCACTCACATTCTTTATCACCCCCTTCCGGAGACAGGTGGGGAGTACCTAAGAACACGTCAACATCAACGTCACAGTTGTCAGTTCAATTCAAATCAAACAATGCCTCTGAGACAAAAACAGAACCACCACCACAACAAAAACTACATGAGTTCACAGGGAACAAGAAAAAGTGGCTCAAACAAGTGACCAGAACACAGCCAGAACCCCTTTCAAAGATGAGACGTGATTTGAGAGGTCTTCTGAAGAGTGTTATATAGATACACTCCAGAACGAATGGAGGCGGTTGGCAGATTGCGGGAGGGGAAAAAAGGGAGAAGATTGGGTAAAGAACCATCACTTCGAAATCCTGAAGCTAAATACTATGACTTAACAAAAAGAAGATCTAGGAGTAGAATTGAGTCGCTGTTGTTGTCAGGGGCCAACAAGCCAGTTCCAACCCGTAGCAAGCCTGTGCACAACAGGACAAGACACTCCCGGGCTTGCCTCATCCCCCAAACCATTCCCGTGTCTGAGCCTGTTGCCGCCGCGCTGTGTCAGTCTCACCGAGGGCCTTCCACATTTTCACTGGCCCTCCACGTCACCAAGCATGGTGTCCTTTTCTGGGACTGTTCCCTCCTGACAACAGGTCCAAGGTATGTGAGAAGTCTGACCAGTTTTTTTGTTTTAATCATTTTATTGGGGGCTCATCCAGCTCTTATCACCATCCATCCATCCATTCTGTCAAGCACATTTGTACATGTTACCATCATCATTTTCTTTTTCATTTTTAACCAGCATTTTCAAGACATTTTCTTTCTACTTGCGCTCTTGATCTCAGCTTATTTTTCACCCTTTCTCATGCTCCATCCCTCATGATCCCTTGATAATTTATAAAAAATTTTTCCATGTCTTACACTTTACTTTTGTCTGTCCCCCTGGGAGGGGGTCACATGCAGATCACTGTGATCGGTTCCCCTTTTCTCCCCACACCTTTCCCTTACCCTCTGGTATCGCTACTCTCATTATAGTTCCTAAGGGGTTTATCAGTCCCGGATTTGAAAGGCAGACTTGGGGTCATGATAGTGGGGGGCGGGGGCGGGGGAGGAGGAAGCATTAAAGAACTAGAGGAAAGTTGTATGTTTCATCAATGCTATACTGCACCATAACAGGTTCATCTCTTCCTTGTGACCCTTCTGTAAGGGGATGTCCAATTTTCTACAGATGGACTTTGGGACTCCACTCTGTGCTCCCCCTCATTCACATTGATATGATTTTTTGTTCTGGGTCTTTGATGCCTGATAGGTGATCCCATTGACACCTCATGATCACACAGGCTGGTGTGCTTCATCCATGTGGGCTTTGTTGTTTCGCAGCTAGATGGCTGCTTATTTATCTTCAAGTCTTTAAGGCCTCAGAAACTATCTTTTGATAGCCGGGCACCATCAGCTTTCTTCAACACATTTGCTTATGCACCCACTTTGTCTTCAGAGATCGTGTCAGAAGGTGAACATCACAGAATGTCGGGTTAATAGAACACAGTGTTCTTGTGTTGAGGGAGTACTTGAGTAGAGGCCCAATGTCCATCTGCTACCTTAGTCTGACCATTCTTGATTCACTGGAAGGCTGAATTAGAGTGATTGAAGGCAAATCTCATGTTATTAATCTGGCCCAGGAACAGCCAGGCAAAAAAGAAAAAAAAATCTGAAGAAAGTCCGAAAATTATGAGGAAGACCACCAAAAGGAATAACAGAACAGGAAGACCAAAAAAGCAAAGCGAAGCTGGTCCGAGAGTTCTTGGAAGAACAATGCCCAACAGCATGAAAGATGAGAAAAATAGGCATTTGAGAAGCTGTATGAACGAGCCCCAAGTAGGATAGACTCTCAAAGAAAATCACTGTGACACACCATACTCAAACATTCTAAAGCCCAAGACAGGAAATCAATCCTGACAGCAGCTTTGGAAAAACAAAGTTACTGGTTGTAATAGTCTAGGTACTTTAGAGAAACAAATCCACACCACTCATAAGAGAGTTTTATGTAAAGAAAGTGTGCATCACAAAAACATCCCAACCCAATGCTGCCCAAGCCCACAAGTCCAACATTAACCCATTAACCCAGCACCAGTCCACAAAGTCCTCCACCTCAC